AACCTTTACCTAATATGATTATTATGAGGATTAAAGTAAGTCATAGTGAAAAATATAAAGTAGTACCTAGTGCATAGTAAATATTCAAGTATTCAATAAATATTTTCTTCTATTATTAACATACTCAAAGATAACTTTTACAGTAACCCATTAAGTAGACATAGAGGGGTAGATGCTATCCTGACTTCCTCAAGATTCAAAAATGTATATACTTTTATATACCTTCCTAATGAATAAAAAGTAAAAGGTAAAGGCCCTCCCGTTGATCGTCGATTTGCTCGAGCGGGCCCAGTAACGTCTCCATTGGAGACTTTGTTGTTACTGTGTCTGGCATATCGAATACTCTCGGTAGCTTGCCGGGCTCTCCGAGAGGGGCGGAGGAATCGAACTCGGGTCGGCCATGTTGGCCGCTTGTAAGGCGAACGCCCTACCCGCTGTGCTATCGCTCCAGCCCAATGAATACGTTTAAGTAAATGTAGTTTCTTAAACTCCACGAGTCTAGCAAAGTGCATAGGTTTAGTCTATTGACTGCATTATTTTCTTTAGCCTGGAAACACGCTAAAGAATAGAAGTATAAGGAAAAGTATATAAAGATTAACATAGGTATTTGGATAGCAATCACTACAACCCTATTCATGCTTTTGAATAAGTGAACTCCTAGAATAATTCTTCAAGAAGCAAGAGTGATAAATGGGTTTTTTCCAGTGTCATCTGTTTTCTAGGGATTATTCTTTACTGAAGGAAAGGAAATACAGCTATCAATGTTTATGTGATTTTAATGCCCTGACTTTAACTGACAAACAAGCATTTTTGATATATGAAATGGGTTTTTGTTTTTCTCCTGCTTTACTCTGTTTGCATAGAACTGTTAGGTGATCTCAATCTATCCCAGAGCAAGCATGATACAGAGGTTTTTTTTTTTTTTTTTTGGCCCCAAATACAAACACTGCTTTGAGAAATATTTGTCTTCTTATCTTGTGAATATGTAACTTTCTTTTTTTCAATTTCACTTCTACTAGATCTCTATAATTTAAAACTACCAAAAAGCTAGAGCTTTAGTCTTAGTTGTTTACTACATTTGAAGTTCTTTTCCTCACATAGAGTACATTACATGAGGATGAAATATATTTGTGTGCTATATACCCTTGTTTCTCATGTGTGCCCAAAATTCTGCTATATTTTTAGTTAATTTTGTTATAGAAAGTTTAATTAATCTTATTGGAGAAAGTTGGCCTAGTATTTTTGTTGTTGTTGTTTTTTATTCCCAGAATAAGGCTGGAGCGATAGCACAGCAGGTAGGGCGTTCGCCTTACAAGCGGCCAACATGGCCAACCCGAGTTCGATTCCTCCGCCCCTCTCGGAGAGCCCGGCAAGCTACCGAGAGTATTCGATATGCCAGACACAGTAACAACAAGGCTCCAATGGAGACGTTACTGGGCCCGCTCGAGCAAATCGACGATCAACAGGAGGGCCTTTACCTTTACCTTTACCTTTATTCCCAGAATATCTGTAATTACATTGAGTTCTCTGAAATACTATACTTAAAAATGTACAAAATTCTAGGTGCTAGATGTTTTCTTTACTGTTTTAAAAATTAAAATCTAAGAATAACATCAAGAGTGCAGGAAAGAGCATGAATCATATTTGGGAACTACAGGAATTGGTCTCTAGCTAATTAAAGGTATGGGATTTATTATTATTATTATTTTACTCTCAGTTCTTCAGTCAACCTAACTCCAAGGATTCACATTCTAGGTGATGTCACTCAATCTAGTATATGTAATATACATTATACAATGAGGGAATTTGGAGCTCAATTTATGAAATCAAATAAATCAAGTTCAAATATACTTTTATATTCCCATATACTTTTACCCATTTACTAGAAAGACTAGGCCATTCTCAGATACAGAAAATTCCTTAACACATTCTAAAGGATCAGTATATCTTATCTGTATAAAATATTTGCATGTGCTACTTTTTCATTAAGTTAGAATAATTGATTTCCAGATGCTTGTCTCCACTTATTATCTGTGTTAGTATAAATAAGGTACAGAGCACCTACTTCCTTAATCTTCAACTTACCTGGAAAATTAAAATGTTATTAAATTGAACAAGTAGTAGTCTTTATGCAGTCTGTTCCAATGAAATAAGCACAGCCTTGTAGCTTAAAAGGAGCATTTATTTCAGGAGAATTCGCAGAAGTCAAGAAAACTGAGATCATGGTGTCTACAAGGTCAAGTTTTTAATATGGGTTCTCTTTTTTTCTAGACAGATGTTTGAGTGGGAGGAGAAGGGGAAATAGAAAGATCAGAGAAAGGAGGAGAGGAGGTTGAACCAGAGAAGAAGGAGAGAGAGAAATAAATTAAGAGGGGAAAAATGAGTTATAGTGGGATGTATGGTGAGTGAGCAAGTGAGCCATGAACTTTGGTACCTTAATCCATTGGAGGAGCCATTTGCCATAGAGGCTGCATTAAGACTACCTTTATGACCACATTACAAAGTAGCCATGTCCAAGTTTCTATCATATAGGATATGAAGGCTTTTTCATGAATTTTAGAGTCACAAAACATTCCATTTATACCAATGACATTATTAAAATAAACATCTTGGAGAATTTAATTTTTCTTAATTAATTTCAGGTGAGCAGAATGGTTGAAAACCAGTAACTGCATATAATGTCAACCTAGAGCTTCCATAAAAGTTTTGGTAGAAGAAAGCACTTGGATGATTTTGAACATTTTCACTTATGTCATTAATGTTCTTACCGACATCAGTTCATTTCATCGAATTCAACTGATGTTGTATGTTTTCCTTGATTGTACCCATGAATAAAACCTATGCATGTTACAGCTGAAAAGTCTACCTCCAATTCATATAATCATATGAAATCTTCTGACTTGGCATAAAAGTCTTGTAATCACACTTAAAGATTTATATTTTGTTACCAGGGAGAGAGATTAAGTGGTAGAGCACATAAGTAACATGTGCATGACACTATGCTCCATTTCAGACATTGTGTGTGCCCCTTTATATGACCACATGTGACTCTTTTGGTCTCCAAGGGCACTTGGGATGTCCCCAGGTTTCTTAAGCACCAATAGATTAGGCCTCGCACACATTTATATATTGTATGCAATGATTCATTTTTAAATTCAAAATATTAACTTATATTATTGATATGGAAATCTATATATATACAATCTTTTAAAGTATACGTAGAATAAGCAGAATGAGAATTTTGTTCTTCAAAACCTGATTTTATTATAATATGTATTAAAGTTTGCTCAAATATGTTTCATCATCTACATAATTTTGACAGAAATAGTAGACATAGAATTTTTAACTGCACTCCACTTACATTAGTAAATATATAATCACCCTTTCTGAGATAAACTCTATGAATATATAATAACTAAGTCCTTGGGGCCTTCCTTTTATTTTATTGCTTTGTAATATTATATGAAGTGATCATATTTTTCAACTAGCTTGTTTGCATTAAAAATCAAGCTTTGCTCATTCCCCTGGGTATTTTTTAAATATACTGTTATAACATCTGGGCTAATGGCTAAAAATCAAAATCTAAAGTTGTGTTGCCTTTGTTTTCAAGCTTTCATGTGAAAATACATATGTATATATTCCTAGCCCAGGGATATCTTTGCTGTGATTTGGAAGAATATCTTATTACCCTGGGTAGATCAAGCAAATTATTCCTCTGTGAGCAAGAAGCCAAGAATGGAAAGTAAAATGGTAGAAAAAGCTTGGATCAAAAAAAAAAAAAAACAGGGGTTATTCCCGGCTTTGCACTCAGGAATCATTCCTGGCGGTGCTCAGGGGACCGTATGGGATGCCAGTGATCAAACCTGGGTTGTCTGCGTGCAAGGCACATGCCCTACCTTCTGTGCTATTGCTCCGGCCCCCTGGGTTCCCTTTTTTAACACTTGTTTCTTAAAACACACACACACACACACACACACACACACACACACACACACACTGGTCTAATGAAGTGAGTAATGATTTTCACTTGAATAAGTAATAGCATCTGCTTGCTACACTGATTGCAAGTTAGGTGAAATAGTACAACTACTAGGTTTTCATTACATTTCTTATGGTGTTCTGCAAAATTTTGTAAAGGACTGCCTGAAGTTATTAACCAAACAGAACTGTTAAAGTATACTTTTCCATTTCTTCCATTAGTGTTTTTTTCTGGCCCTTCTATGGCCTTTTGGAAAAACTTAGCTTTCATATGATACACACCTGGAAACCTGCTGCATTAGATTTTTTATTGAAGTGAAATAGTATAATGCCTAAGTATTCTACTATTACTCATACCTATGCTCTTCTAATCCTAAATTGTTTTTAATCTCAATTAAACACCATGCCATTTATAGCTTTGATTATATTATTTAGAAATCCTTTCTCTTCTGAATAATTCAAAGACTTACCCTGTATTTGTCTCTCCCATAAAAAAATCCTTCATTGAATTTTACTGGGCATTAGACAGTCTCACGTATAGCTGCTTAGAGATGTTTCTCGATAAACATAAACAAAATAAACATAAGTCAAGTTGGAGGGAATTGGCACTTTGGCAATGTTTGGGAAGTGATAACATTGTATTTCTAAAGCAGGAAGACCACATCTGCACTCTTGTAAGCCAATGTTACTTTGGAAAACATAAATGAAAAAGAATAAAATAATTTTTTAAGTCTTTAATGAGGCTAAAAAAATTATGTAACTGAAAATGAAAGAGAATGTATTTTACTTTTAATTATTTATTTTGAAAAAGAATACACCCAAATTCGTAGAGATGAAAATTGAAACTACTAATAATATGCTTATCCTGTTGCCTCATTCTATTTCCTGGAGAAGTACAAATATCCAATTTTAGAGAATTAATGGATATTCCAATTGATGTAGTGTTAGCAAACTGATTTACAAACTGAAAGGAAAAAATGCTATTTCAGAGATTAAAAAAAACATATTAGTATACTTTAAAAGTTATAACTTTGGCAGCACATATGCTAAAATTGGAACAATACAGAGAAGATTAGCATGACCCCTGCGCAAGGATGACATGCAAATTCCTGAATTATTCCATATTTTTTTGCAATATGTTACAATATTTTGCAATGAGTTGCAGGATAATGCAATCTTAACTTGTTTTCTCCTAAGTATTTGAGTTCAAAACTCCTGTATCTAAAGAAATATGGTTGGGGTCATTAATAAAAATCTTTCTATCTTAAAAAAAATTATAAGCATAAAATGATGCATTTATTATCTGGCATGCAGTATGTCCTTTAGGAATGTTATCCCATTTAACCTTTACAGCAATGTGAAATATAATAACCATTGTTACCTGATATTATTAAATACAGAAAAGGCAGGAATTTTAGTAACTTAATCACAATTTACAAAGTCTAAAATGTAAAAATAAAATTTCAATTTAGATTACCTGACCCTAAAGCATAGATCTTTCTTTAATATCCAAATTGTACTCTTTCTAGAAGAGGACAAACAGAAATAATATCCATGGTATTGGATTAGAAAAATTTTCATTACAGATACCAATATAAAGATATTCAGTCTTTGTAGTTTTTTTTTTACTTTATAAACATTAAAAGTCATATTATGGCTGGCATAAATATATGCTATTTAAATATATATACTATGAAATATATATACTGTTGAGACTGTTTGTTAGAAGCAAACTGGTTTAAAACAGTGGTCTCACAATAATTCAATTTTAATAGAATTTTTCAATAAGTATGCCTCTTTAGACGCTGTAGCACTGTCCTCCAGTTGTTCATCAATTTGCTTGAGCAGGCACTGATAACATCTCCATTGTGAGACTTGTTGCTGTTTTTGGCATGTCGAATATGTCACGGTGAGCTTGCCAGGATCTGCCACGTGGGCGGGATATTCTCGGTAGCTTGCCGGGCTCTCCGAGAGGGATTGAGGAATTGAACCCAAGTTGGCCATGTGCAAAGCAAACACCCTACCCGTTGTGCTGTCAGACACTAAGAAATAAAAAATAATGTGTAAGTTCGTTGCTCTCTGTGGTAGACCAATTGTAGTAGACCAATTGCTGTCAGTAATGTTCTCTTCTAAATACACATTATCTTCTAGAAAAGATGTCTTGATTTTTAAAAACCTGATGATTGTGATTACATTTAAATAAAGTGTAAGTTCAAGAAATTTTCTTTTGCATGTAAAAATTGGAGATGGTTTATTGTTTGCTGCAGAAATTTTTTCCTCGTCCAACACCTGACAAAACCACTTACTGTTTTTCACAAGATAGTCTGATCCTTGAGACATAAAGGGATGCTTGAGTGCTTCCTTTGAATTAACTATTTTTAAGAGTGTCTGTAGGATAAGTAATGAAGTTAGAAAGTAATTTAAATCTAGAAAGGAACACTGTTAATGAAGTTTATAGAGAAGGCATGTGGTTTAGAAAGTACTATTAAAAAAAAGTTGTTTTTTTTTAAATCACATTTGAGAAGTATATATAGCTCCCTAAAATATACTTTTGCCTTCCAAGTGTATATGGGTCATTCCTGTCAATTGGCTTATGTGGAACTTAAAATAATTTTTTTTAGTGTCTAGTGTTTACAAACAATCATCATGTATTTCAACATCCTCACATCACAAAATATTTATCAGCAAATTGAATGACTTATGTAAATATTCATTTAAATCTGAACATAGAAAAATTCTTTTAAAGACATGAGTGTAAAAATGTTGATGGCAAAGAAGCGATTTACTGTCACATATTTATCTCATGGTACACCTGAAAAGAAAGATAAAAATATCTTGCTCGTATAAGATGTTGGTATCACACAGGACAGTTTAAATTATAGAGTTATGCTTTCTTATAATCAGTAAACCAATTATGGGTGTTTTACACTTGTGAGACCTTAATTTCTGACTGCCCTTTTTTTGGCGTGTAGATTCTACTCTGATTGTCCTCTAACATCATCCGTCCTCATCCACAAACAGAATTGGCATATTGATTATAACCTATTCAGTGTTACAACCTCGTCAATGGCAAGGGAACCCAAAGAGGTGGGGTTCTGTCTGAATTTGTGGGAGACAAAGAACAGGAAGATGTTACGGTTATACTGGAATGCTTTGCTTTCTGCTTTAGGAGTATAATTTACTGATATAGTAAAATTGCCTATTGTCATATGTTTTTATAAAAAACAATGATCAGACAATCGCTATCTAATTATTGTCTAACCATTAAAACCATAAGAATACTATATTCATATATGTTCTTATGTGTGTGAGTGTGGGTATTTCAGAGCAGTGTGTAGACAGTGTCAAGCTGTGAGAGAACTGATAGGAGGATTTAGAGTGCCATTTTTAGTTTCCTAAAATACTGATCACTTAGTAATTATAATATAAATATTATGCATATATGTAATAAAATCAACTCAATCTTTATTATTACATTTTGTTATGGTCACATCATTTTTCTTTTTTTTAATTTTTATTAGGGAAACAGCATGAGGTACAGTTGTAGGCTTACAAATTTTTGTGCTTGCGTTTCAGTTATACACTCCATGGCTTGGATGCCAGCCACACATTCTAGGGGAAAAGGGAGCTCAGATAGAGAAAGGAGCACCAAATAAAGGGTGTTGGGAGAATCCTCCTAGGTTGGGAGAAGCATGCTGAAAGTAGACTATAGAACAAACATGATTGCCACTCAATGCCTCTTTTGCAAAGGACAGCACCCAAAGGGAGAGAGAGAACAAAAGGGAATACCCTGCCACAGAGGCAGGGTGGGATGGGGGGTGGGGGGTGGGAGGGATACTGGGACCCGTGGTGGTGGAAAAAGGGCACTGATGGAGGGATGGGCGTTTGATCATTGTATAATCGAAACCCAAGCTCAAAAAAATTTGTAAATATACAACTGTACCTCATGGTGTTTCACTAACAAAAGTATGATGACTCGAAATCTGGAATCCTGAAAAAAAATTGTTCTCTCTTAAAATGGATGTTCTCAGACACCTGAGGAAAAGAACATGAGAAATCTAGCCAGGAGCTTTGAACCAGCAGGCTATGTTAATTACCGTTCTATTTTAGGCCACAAGTTGGCCAGAAGGAAGACTATGACTTAGGCATAATGTCTCTAAGAGTAAACAACTAGGAACTCACAAGCATCCTGTTACCTAGATCATTATTGGGCACAGACTATCAGGAAGTTTCATCTTCATTAATATAATGTTATACTTCTAGACAAAACTTATTGTTGTTTATTTACTTCATTCATTTGGAGTTATATAGCAGAGCCTGGCAAGCTAACTATGGCATTTTCGATATGCCAAAAACAGTATCAAAAATGGGCCACATTCCCCTGACCCTGAAAAAGCCTCCAATACGGTAGTGTTGGGAAAGATGAGTAAGGAGAGGCTGCTAAAATCTCAGGGCTGGGATGAATGGAGACGTTACTGTTGCCTACTCGAGTAAATTGATGAATACCCGGATGACAGTGATACAGTGATTTGAAGTTAAGAACCAACCAGCCTTTCATTTGCTGTGGAATGCTGTGTGTGTGTGTGTGTGTGTGTGTGTGTGTGTGTGTGTGTGTGTTTCTCTCACAAGATAAGAGTACATGGTACATGGTGTGGAAGGCAAAAATCAGATATAATTTTAAGGTTCTGGAACAAAACTTTTGTGATCCATGGATTGGTGTATATATCACAAACTAAGTGATGGGCTTAGAATGAATAAAACTGACTTAGGGTGTTAGTTTTACTCAGAATAAAGTGTAGATTTTACTTGTGTAAAAGGAGGCTGAACAGAATACTACACATCAAGGCGTGTGAAGACTAAACAGATTTGTTCACAGAGCTTGTATCAATCAGGAAGTCTATACACAGCTTCTGTGAGACAAAACTCACTGAATTCCAATTCCAAAAGCTTTCTGAATCAAGATACTGGAATAGATAGGGAGAGTATTCAAAGGATGACCTAGCATTTACTATGCAGACAGATGGCAAGATTTGTTCCTAGAAAATTGACAATTTTGGCGCAGAATTTAATTTCTTTGAAGAGAAATGGTGGGGCAGACTCTTATCTGATGGGAAGAATTAGACTGAGTGGGGAAGGAAGTCAATTCCGAGAACCTAGGAAATGGAACTTTTCAGTAGAGGGGCAGAGAAATGCAATTGTTTGTGTATGCAGGAGGTGGTATCAGTGCTACTATTTATTGACACAGACTACTATGTAACCTTAGTATGTATGTAATCTTATGTAATCAGATTTCATAGTATAGTTGGACGTAAAAATTCGTGAGCCTAATTTTAATGCTGGTCATTGTGACTGAGCATCTCATACTTCACTCTAGAAATCAAATTTCATTCTGGATTTTGGCATCCAACAGCAATGAAAAATATTTGTGGCTACAACTATACTACACTGGAAAGGGCTCTTCTTTGCATGCTGTCTACCCAGCTTCCATCTTTGTACCCTATATGGTACCCCTAGTCCACCAGGAGTGATTCCTGAGTTCAGAGCTAGGAGTGAGTTCTGATCATCACTGGGTATGACATCAACACTTAAACAAAACAAACCAAGATAAGAGATGAAGGGCCAGAAGTTTGGATGAGGATGCTCTCATCAACTGTTAGCCTTTCTTAGAAATTTGGAATAGTCTGATCTGAAAGTTGAACTCATGTGAAGTGCTTGGGACAACAGACACAGAGGTGAGGTAATCACTGACTAAATGGTAGAAGAGTGTTCAAAGTGGGAATGTGGTGATTTTGACACAGAACAGTTTTCTGTTTTGTAAATTGATGGGCTTATGTCTCTTTTTGGATTCATCTATATTGATCTACAACAATACTGAAGTGAAGACTATGACTGTGTGTTGGGCAATTCCCTGAGCATGTCTTTGTGAATTTATAGTGCTTCTTCAAATACCCTTTATAGCACTTTCACTTCAATCGATTGCTTCCTTTTAAAAAGAACTATAATGCAACAAAGAAAATGTAATTGAGCATTTAAATAGCCCTTACTTGTGTCAAACCTGAAATAAAATTTTTTAGAACATTGGTAGTTGTCCCATTGCTTTTGGTTTACTTATGAGAAAACTGACACAAC